ATCTCCTTCAAATTACGTAGGAAAGCTACAGTTTCAGGAAACACTGATCTAAGATATTTTTTTATTTAAAATATTAAATAAAATTGAGGGATTATTTGTCATTATAAACTGTAAATTTCAGTCAGTAGGAATACTAGAGGGCATGAAAAGTAAGGTTTTACTTTAACTGTCTAATATTTATATTAATTCAGGAAATGTGTACTAGATAAAGATGCAATTTGGTTCCATATGGTCAAATGTAACATAGAACATTTCTAAAATGATATAACCTGGAGAAAAGTTTATAATTTGATTAAATTCTGCCCTGCAACCATACTCAGTAGATCACTGTCAAAGATAACAGTGGAATATGCTTGACAATTAACTTTTGTAGAACAGCTATAGTCTTAAACATTCATAAGCTAATTTCAACGTAAATATTAACATCTCGCCCTATAAAGCAGTATCTCTTAAAGGGGTGAAATCAAACAGCAAGTGCCAAAAAGTCTGCAGGTAAGAGAACATCTTTTTTGATCATTTGCTTCATTTATGTTATAGGCACTTACAATTTACACATGGATATCCAACAGCAGCAGGACACTGTAAAATAAAGCAAAAACTTGTTGCTATTTTTAATATATGCTAAATTTTTTAAATAACTGGATTGAAATAATACTAAAAACAATACCACTTTAAAACACTGCCATGTTTAAGATACACTAATTCAATTTATTTTCTAAAATGTGCATCTTACATAGTCATTAATCTCAAGGTGGCTCTAATCACAAGCCTTCAGAGCATATTTAGATAGAGCACATTTCCTTGCACGCCTAGCATTTTTTAAATGGCAGCAGTCTACCTTCCTTCTTTGGTCAAGAGGGGAAAAGAGGAAGAGAGAAAGGGAAAAGGGGACTTCTCTGTAGAAAGATTTGGCCTTGGAGTCAGGGTTTTTGAGATGTGCTAGTGATCTTGGATCGATGCCTTTTTATTTTCTTTCAGGAATAAATCTGAGCAATGGAATGGCTTGCGATTGTCCAGCCAACCAGCCATATCAGATTTATCAGAAAGAAAGAATGAAAACTGACTCAGAGGACTCCTGCAGTGCCTGAGTGGCAGGTTGCTGGGAAAGACACACACAAAAAGAATATCCTTAGTGATGATGTGGAAAACATATTCATATGTGTAAACTCAATAAATAATAAGACATAAAAAAGAATCTATAGTAATGGAAAAGGTAAATGCATAAGACAGATGATAAATAGAACTTCTATTTAAGAACCAAAGGGATGAAAGCTCATGAATACTAAATATTTGAATCCACTTTAAGGAGAAAATATAATTTTTCCTCAAATGAATGCAAACTCCAAAAATCAGCCAATGCAAACTTAGTGTTTTCAGGGTAGAGCAAAAAATACGTAAATCTTCCATGAAGGGCATGCCCTGGTAAATATTCTAATGTAATTTCTTAATTAAGACACATTATTCAGTGACTAAATGAAAATTATACATATAAAGGAGTAAGTACCTTGATTTTCAAACTTTGACTTTCTATGCATGTATGATTAAAAAAAATAAAAGGAGTTTGGTTTGAGAGAAAAAAATCAGAAATCAAGGAATCATGACACAACCAGAGTCATTCAATTTAATCCTATCAGTCCATATTATAGTATATTCAAGTGATCTGCAGTCACAATAATAGGTATAAATTTATTTGGAAGCATTCTGAAGAAAAAAAATTATACCTTAGTCTAAAAAGGCTCCTCTTACATATATAAGAATTTCAAAATTGAAAGAAAAAAAGAGAAGCTGTACCCATGGGTGTGCTTACAATAAATACATGTAGGGAGAGAACTGATTTTTAAAAAAATTATATTGAACATCTTTTCATCATTTAACTAAGTTTTATTAACCTTTTTCTTCTCAAATGTAAAAAAAAACTAATTTTGGAGATATATCTTAAATACGTAGGAAAAATGTGTGTTCTTTTATAGAATGAAAAGCAGGACCTAGTTACTTGCAAATAAAAAAAATGGAAACTGAACTTGTTCATCACATATTTACTAAGGTATGTACGGGCATCACGTCAGTACTACTACAGTTACATACATATATTGTATTTCAACACAAAGGTGATACTGATTATTTTTCCATCATACCAGGAAGACAGAAATTTTGGAATTCTTTTTGGTGGTAAAGGCTTTATAACAGCCACATAAAGGGCCTTTGACTATAATACTTCTAGATAAAATAAATCACTGGAAATGAGACAAAGCCCTTCAGAATTACTATTAAAAAAAAAAAAAAACACGTCTTCTCTAAAGCTGATTTTTTTCCCCCAAGCAAAAGAGGAAAAATAAAAACAGGTCCTCTTCAGTTACAATTATTTTAACAAATATCTTAGATCTATACAACAGAATCCTGCCCCTCCCATATTTTTATTCTGTTCACAGAGAGCAGTAAATAAGGTGCATTCCTTCTGCTTCTAGATTAGCATTTCAAAAATATGCCACTTTCCCCTGAACTCCAAGCGTGTCTAATAATGCGAGAAGCAGATTGTCTTTCCTCGTTTCCTTAATTTGTTTCATCTAAAAGCAATTCACTCAACATCTTGTCGCCCTCTGGCAGCTTAGTTTACTTATCCGCACTTAATTTCTCGTTCGGACCAAAACAAACTCCTCCAAACTGCTACTGACTGCTAACCGCGAGAGGGGAGACACGCAATATGTATTTACTTGGGAACATACAGCCATAGGTACGTAGCCACGAACACACGCAGAGCCTCACTCATACCCCAGAACGTAAGTTGGTTTTCTAAAAGCACTACATTAAAACCAGCTGAACTTTCCCTGCCAGGTGCGGCAGGGCGGGGGTGCGGAAGAGGCAAAAAAGAAGTCCCGGGGGCATTTGCAATTTCCAGAGGATCACCTTAGCGTGCGTGTTGCAATTACACCAGGGATGCACCCGAGAGCTTTTCTTTGTGCGGCCCTTTCATCTAGATCACTTTGTGTTTCGAACAAGGGAGGCTCGCCTTTGTGCCCCCAGAATTTCAAGTACAGAGTCAGACACGGAACAACAATGGCACGCTAATCCTCGCGCACTAAATGGGCTCACTTGTGGGCCTGACAATTCACGCGGGGAAGCGAGAAGACACCAGCGAGGGCGCGAGCCGGTGTCGCCTGAGACGGGGAAGAGGACAGCTGCAGAACTAATTTGGATTACATTCCTTGCAGAAATTCTGAAAAGGGCTTTTCGGCAGAGCTCAACTCCGAGCCGCACAGTTAATACCAGATTGCTGCGGACTCGGAGCCGGGTCCCCCAGCGGCTGAGGCTGCACCAGACGGCCCCCAGTAGGTCCCCTTGCAGAAATTCCTCTCGGCTAAGCTTGCGTGTCAGTCGCAACTGCTTTTGAATGGGTCAATGTGCATAATCAACCCATTGAGGGGAAATATGAAGGGACTCGGAGTGGGGAGGGAGATAAAAAAGGGATGTATCTAAGAGGCCGCTTGGAATCTCAAATCCGTGTTGGTGTAATTCCGGAGGTGGCTGGAGCTCGGGAACTGGTATGCATGAAGAATTTCGGAGTAATTGGGAGGGTGCAAACGTCCAGTACAAACGGCGCACATTGTGCCATTCGAAGGTCATTTTGAGAGGCTCGAGGAGTGTAGCTTGTTATTTACTAGGCGAGGAGGGGGAGGCGGCGGGGGCGGGGGCGGAGCGGGAAAACTACAGCGCGCTGTTTTCTTGGTGAGGTCAGAAGGACACCCTCCGGGGGCCTGAAGCTCTCCCTCTCGCCACTCCCGTGGGTTTTATCTTCTCTAGCTGCCTCCCACGCTCCCGCGACCAGCCCCGGATGGTTCCGGAAATCTCCCCGGCTCTCCAAAAGGCCCCCCTTGGCCGCGTCAGTCACCCGTTTCCCTCAGCCCTTCCCTGTCCCACTTTCATCCCCAGGAAACTCAAGTGTCAGAAACTTTGAGCTCCCTCGCCCTGCAGGTGCTGTCACTGGCCCTGCGGACCGCGGCGCACCAACCCCGCCTCGCTGCCTCTCCCGGGTCAGTGAGCCTCTTGCCGGGCGGGGGCACCGGGGCGCGAGCTCTCCGGCCGACAGTTGCCGCGCACCCAGCGCAGCCGCGCCCGCCTCGGGTTCAATCCGCGTGACGGGTCGGCTCGGCAGCCGCGCCCGGCAGTAAACACAAGTTGGAGGGACTCCGGCCAATAGCAAGTTGAACTACAGGAAGAACTCTTCCTGGAGCCAAACACAGAAACCGACGGGAAGGCCGGGCTCCCGGCTTAAGTATGTCAAGCCATTCTTTTTTTTTTTTTTTTTTTTTTTTAAGCGGTCACGCAGGCAGGCAAGGAAGCGCCTCTCTAGTCAATGGGGGCGAGGGCTGGGCACGCTGGCCGAAAAGGCTTATCGTTGTGGGCCCCCGGGCCGAGGCGCGTCCTCCCGCCGCGTTCCGGCTCCCAGGCTGGGCTCAAGGCGGGTCTGACCCCGCAGGCTCGGGCGGCCGGAGGCGCAGCGGCCGCGGGCAGCACACGCAGGTGCAAAGCCCGCTCTCTCGGAGCTGCTCTCTCCACAGCCCTCCCGCTCACCGGAGCCCAGCTGCCACGCCTCGGGACCCCCGTCCTTCCTCGGCCCCGGGCGGGGAGCGCTTTTCCGAGGCTTCTTCCCTCGGGGGGCCCGGACAGGAGCGTCTCCTGTGACTCCGGCTTTGGGTCTCCCACGTCCTGCACAACGGGCGCCACCAGAAGGGATCCCGCTTAGGGAGGCTCACAGAAAACGCGCGAGAAAGAAGCGGGTGAGAGAGAGAAAGAGAAAAGGGGCGCAGAGTGATTTTTCACGATAACTGAACACAGGCACACGCAGAGGGTAAGTTTGGGGACAGATAGAGAGTCGTACGAAACCCAAGGAAGAGGCGCGGATGGTGTGATCCCGCCACGCCCGGGAGCGAGCGTGTCTCCGGCTGGGCTCTGCCGGCGGCCGCAGGGTCAACCGCGGAAGCGCGAGAAGGACCGCGACCCACCTGACTGAGAAGCGCTGGGCTGGACGGTCCCCGCCGCCACGAGAAGGCTCACCCAGACCCACAGTCCTGTCGCCAGCTTCATTTTTTGGAAGTCTCAGATCCCGTGCTGATAATTACATGTCCAAATGGCATATCCCCTTTCGGGCACACGGAGGAGATCCCTCAGCCGGGCGCGCGTGAAGGCGCGAGGGGCACTGGCGCGCGCGGGACACCGGCTCCGAGCGCGGACGACCCAGTCCTTGCCCGCGGGGCCGAGGCCCGGAGAAGCGGGGGGAGAGGGTGCGCGTGAGGGTGCGCGCGGGTGGGAGTGGGCTCGAGTGTGTGCGCGTGGTGCTCCTGGTCGGGCCGGACAGCTATTTCCCCGTGTAAGCCTCCGCTTTCTCGCTCCCTCCTCACTTTCTCGCTCTCTCTCCCTGGTTGGTCAACAATAAAAAGGAAGGGTTCGGAAAAGGGTTTCCAAAAAAAGTTGATTGCAAACAGGCGGTAGCTTTCCGGCCTCTCCCCCCAGCCGGACTCTATTCGGCTCACTTTTCAGTTTCCTCGCACCTCCAGTCCAAATTGGGAGGAAAGGGAGGGGTGGCGGGGAGAAGCTTCTTGCTTCACGCGATCCCGTCCTTTTTTCCTGTCAGCTTTCCTCACACTTGTCCGGCGGCTGCTGTAATTAAAGCTCCGAGCGTCATTTCCAACGCTCCGCCGTCTCCAGCTGCAGCCCCACAGAGAAATTAATAAGACTCGGTCCGGGGGTGGGGAAGAAAAAGAAAAAAAAAGGTGGAGGGGGGTGAGTAAAACAAACCTCCACGCAACCAGGCTGGCTCGGCTCAGCCGCGCAAACCCCGCCCCCAATCTGCCCCAACTAGCCACGCCTTCTCCCCCAAAGGGAAATCTTATTGGTTCAGCCACTCCCCAAAATCTTGGGCCTCGGGAGTTGGGAAAACACCTGTCCGGGAGCGGGAGCCTGGTGGTGGGGCGGGGGAAGCTGGATTTAATAGGCTCACCCGAGGCCACGGACTGAACCAGAGGCCCCCGGACAGCTGGCCCGCAGAGTGCGCAGACGTGCTTACAGAAAAGATTTTTTTCTTTCTTAGACAAGAAAGTCACCACGGTGCTCATCCACAGACAGGACTTGCCTTAGAAATAGAAGAAAACACTGCTTCAGTCATAAAACCTACCCACCCTTCCTACTTCCTCATGCTTCACACTCAGAAAGTAGTGTGAAGGGAATCTAAACACCCGTCTTCCCCCAACTATCCAGTCTCTCCCACCCTTCCCACCCTCCCAAACTGACCAAACTAAAATTCCACGTTTGTAGAGCTGCATCCTTAGATTTTTAGACTTTACGGGTCATTTCTTTTTTTCCTTGGACTCTAGAACAACGTGGTTTGGGGTTCATTCCCATTAAGCAGCTTCTAGTCGAAAGCTACCAATTTGGTTCTAAAGGCTAGACATGGTCCCAGGCCTGAGCTGTTCAGTCTGAAATAACTTAAGAAGGCAATGTCAGGACATAACCAACCTCAAATGATTAGGTTTTTTCTACAGTGGACCCGGCTTTAGTCCCCTTGAATGTTCTCACTCTGCCAGTTCACAGTCCCCAACCTCCAGAGGTCATTGCTAGCTACAGGAGTTTCTGGACTAAAATATCTGGGATTGGGTCATATCATTGTACATATCCCTTGCTTTTTACAGCTCTAAAACTGTACCCTGGACAGGAGGCCAGAACCTCCTGAGGGTAGGAGGTTATTGGTTTGCTATTTGCACAGGCGTTCTATGTATGAATTCTTTTCCTTTTTCAGTTTCTCTAGAAACAGCAAATACATAAATAAAAAGTATCAGGGGAACTTAAAAATTAAGCCACCCTGCCTCCTCACTCATCATTTGAGACCTTCCTATTCCTCCCCCACAACTTTTATCTATAGCTTTGTCCCTTAAGAATTTCCATGGAGCTAGAACACAGAGAAACAGCAGCTTCATCCCAGAGGCCTGAAGCCTTCCCTTTCTTAAGCAAGTAACAGGCACAGAGAGGAGGCCAAACAAGCTGAGCATGCTGCTTTACCCAGAGCAGCGTAGGGCCAGGAAAAACTAAGCCTAGAGCAGGTGACAGTGACTTAACCAGAGTGGTACTGATTGCAGCAGAAGTGTGCACACTGTTCTTTGGGATTATCTATGCTGTCTTTTATCAGCCTTCCCCCTGTTTTTTCTTTCATTCAATCTCTTTTCACTCCCCTTTCCTTAAATCCCCTTCTGTTTTTTATGATGACCCTCAAACACCTCTCTTCCATGAAAGCTACTTCTTTGTAAAATTTCCATCTGTCCCCAGAAAAGCAACTTAAGTGATTTTTTTTTAAGTATTGCTTTTGGAAAAGTTTAAATTTATGTATTAGAATAGTCTTGTTTCTGATAACAATTATTTTGCAAGAAGTGAAGAAATAGATTGTATTTTAGCTTAAATCGAGGGAAAAATTAAATACTATGGATATGTTAAGGTTTTTTTCTACTTGTGTCCACTGTGATAGTTTTTACTCCCCCATCAATTTTATAGCTCTTTTGTGGCAGGAACTCTCCTGTACACCTTGGTTTCAATCACACATCTAAAATAATTCTTGGCAAAAGAGAGATTTCAATTAATATTCATTGGTTAAAAAATTGGTCTATATTTTTTTAGGTGCTAGACAGCCTATACAAGGTATCCACCAATTACATTACCTGACACACCCATGATTTGCTTCTAATTCTCAATTTGGTCTGCCTAGATCCCATTTTCCTGGTTCTAACTGATTGAAACAATGATTGATACCTGGCCAAAGCTGGATATCTGACCACCAGCCTATAAAATGAATTGGCATGAAAGCCCTACTCAACAAAAGCATCCTACTCAACAGTGACCGGTGTACTCAGAGTCTACCTCAAATAATTTGAATATGAGACCCCAGAGATTTAGACAGGAAGGTGGTACCCTGTGTGGGCACACTGGAAGAGTGAGAAAGTAGAAGCCATGAGCTAGAGTCAAGAATTAATTCGTTCTATGTCTGCTTTCATTTGCTTCCCATCTCAACTGAGTCATTCTAAGTTGGATCACTCAGAATACCAAGTAAGACCAGTCAAAATGCCTTGGTCACTACTGATCAGATAAGAGATAGTCACTCCCATGGAATCTCTTCCCTGAGATTTTTCTGCGAGGGAAAGAAAGAATTTGTATTCAGTCATTCCCTGCTGGCTTTTGAGATACAAAAGTCCAGAGCTGGCCTGTCTATATTTCTTTCTATGTAGGGATGACCAGTCTGCAGTGAGAAAGAATGAAGTTGCCATTTGAAAGGGGCAAAAGGTCAGGTAGGTGCGGAGAATATTCAAGCTCTTCCTGTGGTTTTGTTGTTCAAATCCCCCTTTTCCTTAAGCTAGTTCAATTTTGTTACCTAAAGCCCCAACAGCATGAAATGGTAAAAGAACTTCTCTAACTTGTGTGAGATCATATAGGCCATCATGCCCCTTGAAGAAGGTATCTTGATAAGGCCCATACTGTTCAGTTTCCCTTCCCAGTTTCTCATGATTTCCCTTGGCTTAAGTCATAACCCCAAAAGAGAAATTCCTTTGGCCTTTGCTGCTCCCCCATATCCTCTTCTTCACTTCATTTCTTCCATTAGTGATAGAGTTCAAGGAGACTCTTGACATCATGAGTGGCAGAATACTACTGGTAGGAGAAAGGAACACATTGATCTCAGAGTTCAGTGTTGAAGTAGATACCAAGCTTTGTCCCAGAGTTTTGTGGTTCACTCCAATCTTCAGCTTGTTTCTAAGACTTACCTAATGGTAAGATTAGAGTTTGCTCCTTTAGACATTTTGCTATTGTCCATAAATATAAATTTGGGACAAATACCAAATAAGAAAAGAAAACAAGACCCTATCATAATTCATTTTCTTCTTCTGAACATTTAAAATTAAATATAGGATTCTAATTTCCCTCCCTGGCCATAGTCATCTTCCTCAACATCATTCTAAGTTACCTGGTGATCACAAACAACTCACTTCATAGACTTGAGCCCTTTGCCTCATCTAAAGGAAGGGATTGTTATGTCCCAAATCTAAGACTTCATGAGTATATGATTTACTGACACCTACTAAGTGCGAGTCATAATTTCCACAGACTTCATTTGTTTCTTATATCCTTTCCCTTTTTCCCCACTTACCCATACATACTTCTTCATCTGGGGCACCAACACAGCCACATCTTAAAATGCCTTAGGGAAATATCCAAATAACCTTACTACTATATTACTGTGAACTGCTCAAAACTCTGGATCTTTACTATTCCAACAGCCAAGAAATTTTGGCAAATACCAATCAGTTTCAGTATTATGATGATCAAGCAGATGACAGATGCAGTGTTGGTGTCTTTTGTTTGGTTGGTTTTTATTTATCAACTAGCACTTGAAATAACATCTTTCCTCCTAACCCTCAGAGTTCTGAAATTCTCTGATATTTTGGTGATGTTCAATGTCACAAAGCTAAAAAAATCTTTAAAAGTTCAAACATTTTTAAAATGCATAAATATACACTAACTAAAGAAATGTTTTTTGTTATTTTAGTTAATTTAATATTCAAAGAGGACCTCCCCAAGAATATTTTGGTTTTGGTTAGTGTTTTCTTTTATGTGCATGATTAAGCCTTAATTTTTCAAGTGCTAAGGAGGAGTGACTGAATGTAAATAAATCAAATCTGTGTTGCCCTTATGTCCATTCATCATTATCTGTCCAAGTCCTTACAGACATTTTTGGTTTGTGGTTAAAACTGCAAAACAATTTCAGCCCTGTGGACAGAGTAGTCTTTTGCAAAGAAGTTATGCAAAACTGATTTTCCTAGTAAAGCCTTTTCCTGTTCTGTATCTGCTTTACATATTTTCTTCAACTAAGTTCTCTGTCCTGCATAGCTTTTTCTATTGCTTTGTAAGCTTAAAAACAAAGTAAACCTTCAATAACAGTTGCCAGTTGAAATCTAAGAAGAAAAGGGACAGTTCTATTTTTGCATGTTCATATATTTATAAATAAGTTAACTTAGTGAGGTTAGTTATCAAAGGCTATGATTCTACCTGGCCTGAAATCTGAACCAAGATAAAATTTGTTAGTTACTTTTTCAGGTAGCCTCTTATGGTATTTCCTTCCTTCTGTATTCTTAACTCGGCAAAGAGCTGAATCATGTTATGGTTAAAACACAGATTTCTCAAAAGAATCTGAAGTTACATTTGCCATACACACAAAAATGGATGTTATTCTAAGGTCACAAAGAGTTCTTAGAATTTTTCTTGAGCACCTGCCAAATAGTCAACTAAAGTCATAATGTAGAAACTGTGTATTTTCTTCTCAGGTTTGTGTAGGGATGGATGAATCTTCAAAGCTTCAGACAAAAGGTCCTAATAGTTTAGAAAGGGTCCTAAATTTGTTGAGTCTTTTTCTCTCAACACATTAAGAGCCTGGTATCTCCTTGCCCAATCAATTACCTCTCAGAATAACAAGTTTCCCTTTCCGTTTTTGGATTCTCCAATTCTCTTGTTACCTATCCTTCCCTAGCCTCTCCTTTCCTCTGAAAATCTGTTAGGAGGCCCAAGACATCTGGTAGTTTCTCTTCTTGGTCCTAGCTCTGAATGTATCACAATTTTCTATGTTCCCAGGTTATATAACACAGAGGATATTCCATGTTTCAAAACATTAAATATACTACAATTCACCAGTAGAGAATGCCCAGCAGAGAAGCTATCAGAATTATTGAATCTCACA